GCGGGCGGGACTGGCCACGCTCGGGCCACCGCGGTGCCTGGCCGGGCCCGCTCCTGCCCGGTGGGCCCGCTAGCCCGCAAGGTGCCTCGGCCACCGCACACTCTGGAAGAGAGGAGGGGCGTGAGTTGTGTGTTCTCCCTCGGGCAGTTCCGCCCCCCTCACCGCGCCCTCCGCCTGCCAGGTGACCTTTCCACGCCCTTGGCCCTCTGCTGTGTGGGGACAAACGGAGATTTTCTTTCCCCTGTTGTGCTGCTACTTTAAAAAAGTAAACAATTCTTTGTTTTGGAAACAGAGACATGGATGCTGTAAGGAATGAGCCAGAGGTATTTTTAGGGCACGTTAACTCTTTGCTTATGCCACCGGCTTTGACAAAGAATTATGTTATCATGAAACAATCTGAAAAAGAGAGAGTCTTTCCTCAGCTACCCTGATGTGTGACAAGGACAAGAGCCACCTCTGCTGGGAACCTGCTGTGTGTCACTCCTCTGCTGGGCTCTTGACACGTTAGTCGTCAACCACCCCGGCCTAGCACTGCAAGTTCCTTTCACTGTTGACTTGAGGGGAGGCCTGGGCCCCAGCTGGACCTTTGTCACAGACCCTCCCTCCTTTTTCCCCACTCCCAGGCTGTTTGCTGTCAAATGTGGGGGCTGCTTTGAGGCCATCGCGCCCAACGAGTTTGTGATGCGGGCCCAGAAGAGCGTGTACCACCTGGGCTGCTTCTGCTGCTGTGTGTGTGAGCGGCAGCTGCAGAAGGGGGACGAGTTTGTCCTGAAGGAGGGCCAGCTGCTCTGCAGAGGCGACTATGAGAAGGAGCGGGAGCTGCTCAGCCTGGTGAGCCCAGCGGCGTCCGACTCCGGTGAGTGCCTCGTGGCGGGAGGGGTGCGGGCGGGGCCGTGGAGGGGAGTGGCCGTCTGCAGTGCCTTCTCCCCGGAGGGCCGGCCACCAGGCCGCCTGGCTCCAGTGGAAGGCAGCTGTCTGCTTCCTTGGAGCTTCCTTTGTAAGCTGGGAGTAATCTCTTATCAGTGAGGATGGCCAGGCTGTGCGGTGTGACAGATGACCCCAGGTTTCATGGCACACACCGCACATGCTGTCTGGGTTACACACAGTGTCTGGGTTACAGGAGGGAGGACTCTGCTTCAGGCACCTGCACTCTGCTCTGTGTGCACCCCTCCGGGGGAGGAAAGGGGACCAGGGCCAGTCTACTCCATTGCCAGCTGTGGTTAGCCTCCTTTCCTCATCTCAACTGAGCTCCACAGTCCCCACTCGACGTAAGACGGCCAGCTCACCTGTCTCCCTGTGGGCACCTTGCTGGGCCCACCCACTTGGGCCTCCTCTCCAGAATACTGCATAATCTTTGAATCCCCCAAGGGCTTAGATGCGATGGTGCTCAGCGTGACCTCAGAAAGACGTGCACACCCCAAGGGTCACCATCCTTTCTCACCTGGAAGTAGAGGCCGGGGTCTGGTCCTTATTGGCACAGAGGTGTGTGGGGCTTGGTCCCTAAGTTATCCAATTGCAGGTTTTAATTGGCTACAAGCTCAGTATGAGGCATTCGTGTATTACTGCCTCCCCAACCCCGTGTGCAAAGACAAAGGAAAAGCTGGATCCAAGTGGCATCAAGAGAAGAATTTTCTGAGCAAGGTGGTGGCAGCAGGTCCCCTTCCTGACCATGTTCTCCGTGTGTGTTCAGCTCTGGGCATTTCTTTTTGAGGCCGATAGTGACAAGCTGGAGCTTCTGGTTCATTCATTCATGTATTCATTCTTAGCCGTGTCTGAGTGCTTGCTTTATGCCAGGGACAGGGTCATGATATGAATGACAAGAATGACGTGGGAGTGGGAAAGTCTTCAAACCATATCTAGCACAAGAATTATAGATATTTAGGCTAGAAAAGTAAGGACTAAATAGGACATAATTGTTGCCTTGCAGTGGGGGGATCAGACCTATTTTGCTTCTAATTACAGAAAGATGTCGTTTATTCAGTCATTTCACAAAACCACCGAGTGCTTATATTGTAGGGACAGAGGTAAAGGGGATGCAGTTTGGATGAACATGGGAATGTCAGAAAGTCCCTCTAGTGATCAGAGCTAACGAAGAGCAGAACTCCTCGAGATAGACCCTCTTGCTGAAACTGCTATTGGCCAGGTGGGAGGGAAGGATGGTTCTAGAAGACTCCTGAGGTCCCTTTCGACCCTAAATCTGTCATTGTTTTTGCAGCTTTAAATTAGGTGACACAAAAGTCTCAACCAGAATCAAATATATTGTCTGTTCCACTCATTTTGTCAATTACGTAAACCTTGCCCGTCTTGCCCCATGAAATGTGTTGTGTACCGAAGCCCACCTCCCTAAGCAGTGGACAAGCTTCTCGAGAGCAGGGCTGAAGCTTCCCTACCTTTGTTCCCTCAGGAAGCTGAGCACGATGCAGGAGGAGGGGATACAAGCAGTAAGTTCCTAATTAGTTGCATGAAATCTTCCAGGAAAGATGTCCACCTGATCTAAGGGTTTGCAGAGAGCAAACAATTTGGGATCTGTCTCAGTTTCTCCTCTCACTTCTGCCCTGAGCTCCTCACCGATGGTAGGTGCTTGACAGATATTTGTGGAGGGGATGATTGAAGGACCTGTTATCTCTAATGTTTTTATCAGTGACTTGGATGAAGACACAGAAGGTAGGGTGATTTGATTTGTAGGTGACACAAACCTGACAGGGAACTCTGGGTGGCAGCAGGTATACTCAGTGATAACAGAGTTTGACAGCCTGACAGTCATCGGCAGGACAGAATCTGACCACCGGGTTCCAAAATTGAATGGTGATTATACGGAAGGGGGCCTGTTTTGATGGAATTTCACCTATGGCTTTAGCCCACCATAAAGTCAGCAGGAGCCAAAGGGAATGTCGTATTAATAGAACTATAATTGTTATTGGTGAAAGTGGAGTTCTTGAGGTGCTATGAAGAAAAGCATTTTCTGAGTCCCCCACAGGAAGATGGGGTTTCATGGAAAGCTTTATTTTTATTTTTTTAATAGAAGTTTGAAGTTTAATCTCATTCATGGTATTTTTACTTTTTAAAAAATATGTTTTTATTGATTTCAGAGAGAGGAAAGGAGAGGGAGAGAGAGATAAGGAGAGGAAGAGAGAGATAGAAACATCAATGATGAGAGTCATTGATCGGCTGCCTCCTGCCTGCCTCCTCCTGAGGATCGAGCCTGCAACCTGGGCATGTTCCCTGACTGGGAATTGAACCATGACTTGAACTGTGACCTCCTGGTTCATAGGTCGNCAGATCGAGCCCGCAACCTGGGCATGTACCCTGACTGGGAATTGAACCATGACTTGAACTGTGACCTCCTGGTTCATAGGTCGACACTCAACCACTGAGCCATGCCGATGGGGCGGAAAGCTTTGTTGATGATATAAAATTAAGGAGGTTCCCTTCTAAGATCCTATTTCTATCTCTCCCACCATGGAAGAAGTCCAGTCTTGTCTTCAGCAAGGCCAGGACTAAGGCCACTGCCCAGAGTCTCTGCTNAGGCCAGGATTAAGGCCACTGCCCAGAGTCTCTGCTCCATTTAAGGTCCAGTCCGGTCCAGCATCTGGCTAGCTTAGCTTGGGATCCCAGCCGCAGTCCATTGTGTGTGAGGTCCACATAGCCTTGGGCCATGTAGCTGCTTAAGGCCACATGGCCATGGAGAGGGAACAGGCACGCCCACGGGTGAATGTGGGTCATGGAGTAAGAGAGAGCAAGAGCCAGGAGCAAGAGACCGAGCTCTTTGCCTGGGGATTTTAACTCTCCAAGATTTCACGCACTTGCAGCAGCTCCACCCTCCTAGCCAATCATTGTTCCCCAGGTGCTAGACTGGCAAGCAAGCACCTTCCCTATGTCACACCGACTTCTGCACATGTGTCCATCTTCCCCTTTGTTTGCTCTTTCCCCCCAGTGATCTGCAGGGAATGGACCAGTGGCTCCCTGGGGAGCATGAAGCTGTAGCTTCCTGGTGAAGTTGCCCAGATGACTATGCTTATAATGCCTGGCCTCCTCTTTGCTCTCTTCCTATTATTAATATTAATGAACTAACTAATTACGATGATAGCATTCCCCTCTAAAGAACATCAGCCTTTGTAATCTTACAAAGGTAGGTGGGTGAAGGTCTCATCTGATTACNGCTAATTACGATGATAGCATTCCCCTCCAGAGAACATCAGCCTTTGTAATCTTACAAAGGTAGGTGGGTGAAGGTCTCATCTGATTACAGTTTCATTATCTTTTTGCATTAATCAGAGCACATTCAGGATATTTGGCCCAATTTTAAATGTAGCATTTTATGGGGTCACTGACAAGCTAGAGAAAGTCTTGAGCAGAGAGAGTAGCTTGTTAAATGATAACTAACGAAACCCAGTATATTCAGCTGTGTAAAAATAAGGTGAAGGGGACTATGAGAGTCACACCCAAGGGTGCAGACCCATGTATGGGGGGAAGTGACAGACCTTGGTTCAAGGTAGATCAGAACTGTGCCCAGCAAAGGTGTAGACCAGCTGCCTTTATGGGCCGAAAGCCTGCCTGTCGTTAATATTTTAACTACAGTTGGCAGAAGGCTGGGTCAGTGACCTCCAGGGCTGCTTCCACCTTGAATTCTGGAGTCTGGTTTTATGATGCTGACCATCCCCACATGCACAGAGCACGTGACACATTTACAGCTCTTTGGACACCAAACTTGAGACATTCAGCTGCTGGGATCCTTTTCTGCTGTGGCCAGAGGCTCCTTTTGTCCTGGTCCCTGCTGTCCAGTGGCCTTGAAGAAGCTGCTCAAATAGACAACTGGACTCTGTAGTCAGAATCAGGTGGTTTTCTTTGGGCCTGTGGGCCCCTCAGAGCCCAGGGCCCCCAGGGCAGACCTAGCAACACCCAGGCCTGTGCTCTTCTCCCCGCCATGGGCACCGGCTCTTTAGTTAGTGGATGCATTAGAGGTTGTCCAGCCCAAACACCCACCAGGTCCTCCAGCCTCCACTTGGGTGTCTCCAGACCTGGAGAGTTCCTGCCTCAAGTTCTGAGTGTGGATTGTCCAACCTGTTACATTGGGCCCCATTGTCTGTCTCCATGTGTGCCCTTAACCTTGGCCTTGGTTCTGCTTTCAGGACCTCACAAGATCAGTCAGTCTCCTTGACATGTGGCAGTCCTTTGAGCTAAGATAGAGCCACATGCTCCCTACATCTTCTCTTTTCCATCTGCTTCCCCCTCCTTCCAGCTGCCCCTTGAAAAGGCTGGTTGCTCTGTCTGTAAACGCTGCCATCTCTTTAGAATGCACCACCCAGAGGGGACTAAAATATTCCATGTGGGGCCTGAACAAGCATGTTATTGTTACTACTTGTCATCTATTGGTGGGACCCATGATTTCGACACTTTCTAGACTCATAAGTGGGGGTGGGAGCTTGGGGGCAATGATGGCTCCCAGCTGGTCCATGCTGCATTTCTTAATTATCTACCTGTCTCCTCTGCACATTTTTATAAACATCAGAGGTTACCTGAGAATGTCTTATGCAACAATTTTTAGAAATTTTTTTTGTTTCAAAGTAGTAGAGCAATTTCAAAGTAGGACAGAAGTCCCCACATTCCCTCCATCCGGCTCCTCCTAATGTTAACATTTTTCATTTAAATGTACATTTTGATAAGAGTTCCATGTAAACCATAAAACTAACATGAGCACAGCACTATCAATTCAATGACTGACTTTGTTTGATTGGAAGAGACTTTCTGGTAATATCTTTATCCGTCCCAGGATCCAAACTGTGTTTCCTTTTATGTTATATTGATGTTAAATTACCTTTTTTCCCTCTATTTCTGAAATTGTTAGAAATGTCCAGT